CCCCAAAACCCCAAAACCCCAAAACCCCGGATTGGTAGTAGAACCTTGAAATATATAATTTATGAGCAAGGTAATTTCTAATGCAAATGGGAGACTTTTGTATGAAAGCATATGAAGTTTATATCAAAGCTAATTCTCAATATTAAAGAACAAGAAGAGGTCGTTTGATAGGTTACTCTTGCCAAACCACTTTTGGGCTTGTTTAGGAGGACAAAATGAAAGAAAAATATTCTTTGAACCATAAATAGTGAAAAGAAAATCAATTTTTGACGACTGTATTTAATAACTTTGATATAGATCATTTTGAATTCATGAAAAACAACAGTGCTGTTGTGGATGATAGTTGGAGTAATTTACTCTTTTAAACTATATCCAACTGAATGATTGGAAGGTATGAAATGCGATTTTTATGTATCATTACCATTCTTCCTCCTTTCAAACCCCAAGCAATTTACTCATTTCATAAGATAACGTAATTTTATGCTAATTGTGAAACCTCCAGTTCTACAATTTTTAAAAGGTTACTAAGTGCTTTTTCCTCTCTAATTTGTTTCAAAATCTATTTCTTTTATTATACCCAAGCTAGGCGACTCCACTATATATTCTCAGGGTTCTTAGTATATCTTGGTCATAATTTAGGACTCTCACTTAGTAAATATCTGAACATTTGTCCTCTTATAAATTTTGCTTTGATATCTCAATTTTAGCTGAAAGTTTATCAAGCTGTTTCTTTGATTTCCTCATACCTAAAAGTTTTCAGAAATACAGAGATTTTTGAAAGTTTCAGAGCTTAGTACCAATTTTCCACAAATTTTATTTTTTCGAACATTTAAGGGTAAAACAATTATGGATTTTGTTTCCCAAAATGATAATGGCTACAGGTTATTACAAGACAGGTCACATTTGAAAGCCTTGCAACAGTTCATGCAAGGATTGAGATAACTCTTCTCAGTGCACAAGTTGAGAAGAGTATATGTTCCTTAACTTAGACACTCATTTGTGACAAAGATGACCTGAAGGCTATTACTACGACAATATTGGTCAGCAATGAAAAGACTGTGATGGAAGCTGTATTGGGCAGTGAATGGCTCAAAAAAGTTGCTTTGAGTGCTCAGCTGGACGAACATTTAGTTTAGAGAAGCTAGAGTGTGCAGATGAATGTAGAGGTGTTATTTTAAGTGATGATCAACTCAATTTACAGAGCGTGTGTAGAAATTATGGAGTTGATAATACTTCACTTCAATATTATGTAGATCCTCAGAGTAAGCAGCCAATTGAGCTCGGAACTCTGGAATTTCCCTATCGTTCATTTAAATCGGTGAACTTTGAAATTGCTAAGTTCTTCAGTCACTCTAACATATCAGTCATCATTTACACTAAAGATGCTTACATTGAAGATGGTACGAATCGTTATTTAAATCTGACTTCGGTGTCAATTGTTGCTCACCCAGCCTACGATTACCTAACCTATCAGCCTATTCTTATTCCTACTGCAGTCCATCAGCCCTTCATCTCTGAAAAACCCTTGTTTCATTTAATAAACAAGGTAGATGCATCTTTGGAAGGCTCTATTACTGCTGCTTTCCATAACGGATATTTCAGTGATTATGAAGAAAGTTTATTTGAGATTCCTAAAACTACCATCTTACCTATCAGGACCTCCATAATCGTCAAGAACATTGATATCTACAGAGAGGAAGCAGAGCCAGATTCCTTGCTCAAGTTTATTATGTTAGGATATCTTCAGACAAAAGTTATGCATATTGGTAAGTTAGAAATAAAAATAATGCGCGCTGAAAGAGTGTGCAATGAATTGAGCAAAATTTTACGAATTTGCTGAGACTTCCGGGAGCTTTTTTAGGGTTCTTATGTTGTCCTAGCTGAAGGATTTTGATCACCTTCTTGGGATAAATGAGGAAATCAGCTTGTGCATGTCATAACTTAGCTCTAGTATTTGATATTGTAAGAATTTTATACAAATTTTCTTAGGATAATAAAAACTAGCTAATTTATAACCTTGGATTTTAACTTTTCGTAATGATCTAATCATTTATTATAGAGAATGTAAACCTAAATATTACAGGTTCCTTTGCTTATAATCATAGGCCAGCAAACATTAAGTTTCAAAACATCAAAATTGATCTTGTCAAATTTGGTACTTTTTATACCTCAGATTATTTATTCTGAAACTATCCAGAAGCAATCTTAAGTCCAGAGTTATTTGCCAAGAACATTTCAATGGTTAATACGAATATTTATAATGGGAGAGCACCTTATGACATTCTCAGAATGGGCGATCCTGGAAATCTCACATCTATAGATATTGATTGCAGAAATCACTACACCTATTTCGACACTCCTAATGGATGCGTTGGAACAGTAATAAGACCTTTATGATTACCAGATGATGGGAGAACACATATCAGCATGTTTAAAAATGTGAATCTTGACTTTATATCTCCTTCTACTAATTATGTTGTATTAAATATTGTTGGAGCTAATCAACAGCACTACAGGAATGAGCATTTAGAGTTAGATGGTCTGTTTTGAGACAATGCAAGAGTCAATCATAGGTTTTCTGTTTTTGGGATGGTAGGAACTTTCCTTGATACTATAAAGATGAAGAATATCGTCTTTAAGAATTCAACAAACACTGGATGTCTTTTATGAGGTATGGCAATTTTAAGCCAAGAAATTACTAATGTGACTTTAATTGATACTGACGATGCAATCGGTTACTCTATCGGATGAGCTTTCTGAATTAAATTTGTTGCCAGAGACGTAAAATACATTAACTATAACATTTCACCATTTTCAAGGGCTCCTACTATTGTTGCATTAGATCTCAAAATCTTCACTATGCTATTGGATCATTTCTATGTCGAGAATTCGTACTTTCAGCTATTTCCTTTTGTTGATGTTCCATATGAAGCTGCACTGATTCAGATTACTAACAACTATTTCAATAATACTAAACTAGATGGCTTGAATTCCTTCTTCAGACTTACTCGAGCCACTAATTTTGTTTTCCAAAACAATACTTTATTAAACTCAGGGGCGTTAGATGAGAGAGATTCCACTATTTTGATTGATATAGGATCTCTAAACCTTCAGTACATGAATGTGACTGTGATTGATCAAATCAGATTCATCAACTCTTCTAGCTCCTTCATGATGATTCACAGCATTGTTGGAGAGACTGATGTAGAAAAAACACTTGTTGCAAATGATATCTCGTATACAGATTGATTTATCAGCCATTCAAATCCATTAATTTCAACTCAGGGTCAGATTACTAACAAATCATACACCTTAAATTTGATTTCGGTTAGCTTCATCAATGTTCAATATAAGAGTAAAGGTGACATTATAAGATTAGGTCACCAACTTAAAACCCCCATTACTATTGTAAATTTGACTGTGAGCCAAGTCACATCTGGAAGGATAAACACAGAATCATATTCAGCATCTTCGGATACTTTGCAAACTAGTACAAGTATCCAAGGGATAACTGTATATAGAGTTTATCTAAAGTTTCTGTCTTTCATTAGAACAGGCTTTGGCTCTACTTTAAATATTAAGCAGTCATCTTTCACCAACATTGAGAGTGTTAATTTGGACTCCGGTATTTTCAGCACTGAGTCTAATTCTCAGGTCAACATTGATAGTGCCTTGTTTCAAAATAACTCAGGAGTATCAGCAACTGTGTTTAAAATCAAAGATAGTTCGACTCTGATATGAGTTAACTGAACTTATTTTTACAATTTTGCACTCTCAAACGGAATTATGTCAACTGTTACAAAAGGGAAGTTTATATTTATTGAGAACAATATTCTCCAAAATTATGCTCTTGAGAACTCTATTGGAGAAATCTTTGCTTTCGACGAAGTTTCTATCATCCAGAGATCCAATATTTATCAGAATCTGGCCATTTCTTATTCTGATTTTGAATCTGAGCTACTAAATTGTACAAACCTGTGATTTATTGGAGAAAACTTTAAAGACTACTTGATCAGTCTTAATAGAACTACCTTAGCTCATTCTGATGTAGCCATTCAGGTGTTATTTGGACAATTGTTAATTAAAGACTCTTCAGAAATATATCAACAACCTAAATTTGTAAAAGCTTATGGAGGAATTGTGAGGATTCAGGATTCGACTATTTCGAACATTACTCTGAGCAAAAATAGCATTGAAATTATCAATTCAGAATTTATATATATTAGAAAATACTACTTTTTCAAATATCATGAACCAATTAGGGATCAACTTCATTCTTATATCATCTGATAGCAATGTTAATGCCACAAATACAAAGCTCAAAGACTCTCAGTCCACCTTGTTTTTCATCCTGTCTTCGAATGCAACTCTGCAAAATATAAGCTTTGAGAATGTAACAGCTCCATCCTCTCTCATAGAGGTGCAGGATGGTGGTCAGTTTGTGATAAATAATCTTTCATTACTACAATCCTTTGCAGATCAACAAATATTGCTTCTTGAAAATACAAACATGATATCTCTGGTGTCAATAGAAATGTCTAATTTAGAGAGCTCTCTCTTTAAAGCTTTGAAATCCAACTTTGAATTAATTAAAAATGTTGCAATCATAAATAGCACAGGCAGCACAGAAATTTTCGATTCAATTATTTCTAATATGACAAACTGCACTTTTAGAAATAATGGCAGTCCATTCACAAGTATAGGTGGAGCAATCCAGTTGGCCGATACCATTATGGTAATAAACAATTCTACTTTTATTGCAAACCAAGCTGGCAAAGGAGGTGCTATTGGATTTGAGTGTTCATCCAGACAAAAATGTAGACTTGATATTTCTGGTTCAAATTTTTCTAATAATATCGGACTTCAAGAAGGAGGGGCTATTTATTATAACTATCAACCTCCAACAATGCATCAGACTATATTTTCCAATAACTCAGCTTCATATGGTCCAAATTTGGCGAGTTATCCTTATAGAATCGGCTTGAAGAACAGTACTACTTTAGAACCGATATTGCTACAGAACATAGGCTCTGGTATCACCCTTGAAGATGCATTAGAACTAGCGCTTTATGATTACAACAATCAAGTTATGAGCCTAGATAGCACAAGTCAGTTTATTATCACAGCCGTTTCTGAAAGTAATGGAACTATCAAGGGAACCAATACTGGTATATTAAACAATGGAACAGTTATCTTCGATAGTATATATTTTATTGAAAAACCAGGAACTAGTTCTGTCAAATTTAGAGTCTCCTCAAAGACATTAAATACTAACAAGATATCTGATATTTATAACAGAGTATCTCCAGATACAGAAATTATTGTAAACTTCAGAGACTGAAAGCCTGGAGAGCAACATCTTGGAGATCAGTGATCCTCTTGATCGACAGGGACATACTCCTTACAGTGGAACTCTAAAATATGAGACAAATGAATGAACAATGCTATTTGTATAGGGAAACAAGAAATCAAAGTAAGTCCAGAGTACTGGAGGAGGACATCCAATTCCACACAAATTGTCCAATGCCTAAATAAAGAAGCGTGACAAGGAGGCTATGTTGAGAAGTCTGAGTCTCCAACTCAGTGAAAAACAGGCTACGAAGGTCCAATGTGATCCAAATGTAGTATAATAGGTGATGATAAGTATGAGAGGAAAAATGAATTTGGATGTATAAAATGCCCAACTCCTTTCATTAACGCTCTTAGAATTGCAGGCCTATTCTTCTTGATCTTCTGTTATTTTATGACTCTAGTTGTGTTAAATATTAGACAGACTGAAGAGAGTCAAGTATCAGTCTTGCTGAGAATTCTCACGAACTACATGCAGCTAATCACTACATCAATGTCGCTGACTCTGAGTTATCCAAACTTCCTGGATTCGATTACTGACCCTCTGAGACGATTGGGAGGCTCCTCTGATACTCTCTTGTCCTTCGACTGATTTATTACAGATTATGAAATCAAGGGTTCTTTTGAATCGAATGAAGTTTTCAAGTTGTTCTTAATGATATTTCTGCCAGTTGCATTATTTGCATTTATAGCAGCTTTATGGGTAGTGATGCGACTCTTCAGCAAGAAGCTTGTTCCTAATTTGACAAGAAATCTAGTTATCTCATTCATCAGTATTGTTTTCCTTCTTCATCCAAGACTCACACAAACAAGTATCAATACATGGAGATGAGTCAATGTTGATGCTGGAGTTGATCTGGCACGATTTGACATGAACATCGAATGATACTCATCATCGCACCTCAAATATTGTCTCTTGATTGCTCTTCCAATCCTAATAATCTGGGTGATCTCAATGCCTGCCATTGCATTCATATTGCTGTTCAAGACGAGGAAATCAGGGAAAGAAAACAAGATCAAGCAATATTTCTTGATTCTGTACCAAGGGCTTACTCCTGAATGTATCTACTGGGAGTTTGTGAATACTATCAGGAAAGGAATAGTGCTGACCTGTCTGCTCCTTCCAGAAACAGGAAGAATTGCTTTAGCTTCAATTACTTTGGTAGCCTCAGGGAGAATTCAGATGAGTTTGAAGCCATACAAGAGGGACAGTAATAATCAAGTAGAGTTCTTAGCAATCATGGCTGGAGCGGTGACTATTCTGACTGGTGCCGTCTTCTTTGAGAAGAAACCTGTTGAGCCCTTAGATACATTTGCCTTGCTAATTGTTTGATTTGTCAATGCTGCTTTTATACTAAACTGGACATATCTACTCACTCAGGAGTTTGAAGAAAAGTCCAAGTTTGCTAAGATAGTAAGTCCTAATCAATAAAAATAGATAACAAAAATAATTGGATGCATTATCTGCAAAAATATGCACTTAAAATATCAATCATCCTCTTCTTCACCACCCAAAGTATCTCCTCCACCCAACCCATCTCCTCCACTCCAAATCCAAAACTCCTCCAAATCAGATCTCTCCATCCCTTCTCTCCCTCGCCAAAGAACCCCTAAACGCCTCTACAAACCTTCTCACAACCGCAAGCGCAAGGCCGAAGCCATGCTCAAAACCACCACCGCCCTCCCTCCCCTCCGCTCCAAAGAAAGCCCTCTTAATTCCCCCATACTGTTCCCCTCCACCATAATCAGAGTAATCTCCTCCCTCAACTATAGCCCCTCAAAGCCCACCTCCCCTCAGCATCCATCGATCACTCTGATAACTAAATTATCCCAATTCCAGTCCACCCAGACCATAAATTACCTATCACAGAACCTCTCTCAGGGTACTTTACTCTACTTCTGTTAGCTTAGGCCCTTCCTCTAATAAATATGGGTTATTTGTATTTTCCTTGTTGGGGTAAATTAGGATTTGGGGGTTTAAGTGTAGAGTTGTTGTCTTCGGATGTTAGGTGGGGAATGCAGGTGGTAGGGGGAGTGGAGGGATGGGGGAGTGGGAGGGATTGGAGGAGTGGGGGGTGGAGTAGGAGGAAGGAGATGTCTGAGAAGCTGATTGGAGGAATATTGATTGAAGGATTTAGATGTTTTGAGTTAAATTGGGTTTAGTTTTGGATAGTAATGAAAATAAGAATAATTTATATTTATAATTTTATTATTACTTTGATTCTCAACATTATTTTGAATGTACGGGGTTTTGGGGTTTTGGGGTTTTGGGGTTTTGGGG